TGATAAAATATTCAGTAAACTATGAATACAAGGAAACGTCCTTAACATGATAAAGGCCATGTATGAAAAATCTACGCTAACGTTTGTTCTCAATGGTGAAAGACGAAAAGCTTTTTCCTGAAGTATAGGAACAAGGTAAGGATGCCTGCTTTTGCCACATCTGTTCGACATAGTGCTGGCAGTTCTAGTCAGAGTTAATTAGGCAAGAAAAAGAAAAGACATCCAAATTGGAAACGTAGTAACGTTATCTCTTCACCAAAGATGTTATCTCATATCTACAAAACCCTAGAATCCACAAAATAGTTAGAGCTGATAAATGAATTCAACAAAGTTGTAGGATACAAAATCAACATGCAAAGTCAGTTGTATTTCTGTATTTTTAAAAATTCCATTTACAACACCATCAAAAAGAATAAAATACTCAGCAATAAATTTAACCAAGGAAGCAAAAGATTTCTTCACTGAAAACTACAAACAGTTGCTGGAGGAAATTAAGGAAGACCTAAATTAGTGGAAAGACTTCCAAGGCTTATGGATTGGAAGACTAAATATTGCTAAGACAACAGTACTACCCAAAGTGGTCTGAAGATTCAGTACAATTCCTATCAAGATCTCATTTTTGTTTTTTACAGAAATAGAAGAGCCTATCTTAAAATCCGTTTGGAATCTCATAGGAACCTGAATGACCAAAACGATCATAAAAAAAACAAAACAAAGTTGGAGGACTCACACTGCCTGATTTCAATGCTTAGTACAAAGCTGCAGTAACCAAAACAGTGTTGTACTAGTATAAGGTTAGACATAGAGCAATGGAATAGAATCGAGAACCCAGAAGAAAATCCCTTGCATATGGTCAGTTGATTTTTGACAAGGGTGCCAAGACGATTTAATTGGAAAAGGACAGTCTTTATACACATGGTGCTCCAACAGTTGGTTATCCACAGCCTAAAGAACACACTTGAGATAAATGAAAAATTAGAAAGCCTCTGCAAAGAAATAGAAGATATTATGATTATGTATATGGAAATGTTACAACTGAAAAATATGTACCTGAACAAAAAGGCTCAGTAGTAGATGGGCTTACCAGCAGCTTAGAGGTAACAGAGAAATCAGTGAACTAGAAGATAGAGCAATAGAAGTCACCCAATCTGTACAACAGGGAGAAATACACTGGGAAGAAAATGAGTTAAGTCTTAAGAACTGTGGGAGTATAACAAAATAGCTAACATTTGTGTCACTGAACCTCTGGAAGGAGAAGAGAATTATATTTTAAACAGGAAGGGGAGAGGATGTAATGGGACGTAAGGTTTCTATACTCCCTTCAAACTGGTTCAGCGACGTCCCCAGTACACTGAGAAGTTATGTATAGGTAATGTAGAACCTAGAGCAACCAATAAAAAAATGATACAAAGAGATCCACTAAAAGACACTAGATAAATCAAAATTGAATTATATAAAGGTCAAGTAACCCACAAGAAGTCAATAGTAAGAAAACTGAGAAGCAAAAAGCAAAGAAAACAAAATTAAAATGGTCTAAATGCACCACTAAAAGAGAGAGACTGACACAGTGGATTTAGAAAACCCTATTATCTTGTCTAAGTGAAACTCACTTCAAATATTGTAGTGTAGGCAGGTTAAAAGTAAAAGGATTTTTAAAAGACACATGCAAACATTAATCAAAGGAAAACAGCATGGCTGTATTAATATCAGGTAAAGTAGACATCAAAGCAAAGCAAATTCCCAGACACAGAGGGCGATAAATGGCTCAGTTCACCGGGAAGCTTAGTCATCCTCACTGTGCACACATCAAACAAGAGCTTCAAAATATGTAAAAAGAAAACTGAAAGGGGAAATAGACAAATCAACAATTAATTGGAGACTTAATACCCTTCTCTATATAATCAATAGAATAATTAGAGCAAAAATCAGTAAAAAATTATCAACACCATCAACCAACAGAATTGAATCAACATTTATACAGCATTCCACCCAACAATAACAGAGCACACAGTTGTTTAAACTCCTGGACAGATACCAAGATAGACATATCTTGGGCCATAAAACAGAATACATACATAATACAACACACAAAACATAGAAGTTTGTTTAACAAATTGAAAGAATTGAAATTGTACAGAGTGGGTTCTCTGACTACAATGGAATCAAACTTGAAATCAGTGAGAGAAAGTTAACAGAAAAATTGCCAAACAATTAGAAAACAGACAACATACTTGTAAATGATCCATGCACCACAAATGGAAGTCTCAAGGGAAATAAAAACATACATGAAAGTGAATGAAAAGGAAAATGCAGTATATCAAAGTATATGGGATGCAGCCAAAGCAGTCCTGGGAGAGAAACCTGTAACACTAAATGTATGTGTTAGAAAAGAGGAAAAGTCTCAAGACAATAATCTAAGCTTCTGCCTCAAGAACCTAGAAAAGTAAGTGCAATAAACTCAAAGCAAACACATAGAAGGAAATAATAGTGATAAAGGCAGAAGTCAATGAAATTGAAAAGCAGAAATGGGGAAAATCAGTAAATCAAATTGCTGCTGCTTTGAAAAAATAAAATTGATAAACGTCTAGCAAGACTAAGAAAAAAAGAGTAGACAGAAATTACCAGTATCAGGAATGAAGCAAGGGATATAGTTATGTACTCTGTAGCCATCAAAAAGAATAATGAGAATATTATGAACAGCTCTGCACTCATAAATTTGACAACTTAGATAAAATGACCAATCCCTTGAAAAATACGAGCTACCTTAACACACCCAATATGGAATGGATAATTTGAATAGCCCTATGACTGTTAAGGACTATACATCATCACCAAGTACGGTTTACTCCAGGAATGCAAGACTGGTTCTGTATTTGACTCAGTGAGTGTAATCCACCATATTAACAGCCTAAAGGAGAAAACCCACATGATCATATCGGTTGGTGCAGTGAAAACATTTGATAGAACTCAACAACTATTTGATTAGGGACATCCAGAAAAAATCTGTAGCTAACATTCTTTTTTTTATTGTTAACATAAAATTTACCATTTTAACCATTTTTAAGTGTACAGTTGAGTGGCATTAAGTACATTCACAATGTTGTGCAACCATTGCCACCATCCATTTCCAGAACTTTTTTCATCTTCCCAAACTGAATGTCTGTATTCATTAAATGCTAACTCTCATTCCCCACACCCCCAGCTGCTGGTAAACTCTATTTTACTTTCTGTCTCCATGATTTTGCCTATTCTGGGTACCTCCTATAAGTAGAATCAAACAATATTTGTCTTTCTATGACTGGCTGATTTCACTGAGCATAATGTTTTCAAGGCTAGTCCCTGATGTAGCATGTATCAGAATTTCCTTCTCTTTATTTTCCCTTTTTTCCTGGGAAAGATTCGCCCTGAGCTAACATCTGTTGCCAATCTTCCTCTCTCTCTTTTTTACCCCCCTCCCCAAGGCCCCAGTACATAGTTGTATATTCTAGTTGTGAGTCCTTCTAGTTCTGTGTGAGCCGCTGCCACAGCATGGCTACTGACAGATGAGTGGTGTGGTTCCACACTTGGGAACTGAACCCAGGCCATCAAAGCAGAACACGCCGAACTTTAACCACTAAGCCATCAGGGCTGGCTCAGAATTTCCTTCTTCTGTAAGGCGGCATAATACACAATTGTGTGCATATACTACATTTTCTTCATCTATCTATTGATGGGCATTTGGGTTGTTTCCACCTTTGAGTTATTGTGAATAATGTGGTTATGGACATTGGTGTACAAGTATCTAAGTCCCTGCTTTCAATTCCTAGGAGCGAAATTGCTGGATCATATGGTAAATTGTATGTTTAACCTTTTGAGGAACTTTTGCTGAACTCTTTTCCACAGAAACTGCACCATTTTACTTTTCCCACCAGCAAAGGTTGCAATTTCTCCACACCCTGCCCACACTTGTTCTTTTCCATTTCTTTGGTCGTACCTCTCCTATGGGTGGGACGTGTTATCTCATTGTAGCACAGTATTCTTAATGCTGTGAGACATAGCGCTTTCCTCCTCACATTGAGAACAAGGCACGGATGTCTGCTCTCACCACTCCTACTCGTTATTGTGCTAGAAGTTCTACAATAAGGCAAGAAAAGGAAATAACATGCGTACAGATTATAAAGGAAGAAATAAAACTGTCCCCATATGCAAATGATATGATTGTGTACAAAATCTCAAGGAACCTAGGAGAAAAACACTCTCAGAGCTAATAAGTGACTTCAGCCCGGTTGCAGGAATCAGGATAAACATACAAAAACAATTGTATTTCTGTATCATAGCAATGAACATGTGGTCACTGAAACTAAAAATACAATACCATTAAAAATCACTAAAAAAAATGAAAAAATTCTTAGGTATCAATCCAACAAAACTTATATAGGATTTGTATGCTGAAAAACCACAAACTGCTGATGAAAGAAATCAAAGAACATCTCAATAAATGGAGAAACGCATCATGTCTATGGATATGAAGAGTCAACATAGTGAAGATGTTGGTTCTCCCCAAATTGATAGACAGGTTTAATGCAAATGTTGTCAAAATTCCAGCAAGGGTTTTTGGTAGATAATAGACAAGATTATTCTAAATTTATATGGAAAGGTACATGCCCTAGAATAGCTAAAGTTACCTTTAAAATGAAGAGTGAAGTGAGGAGTCAGTCTACCTGATTTCAAGACCTACTATATAGCTACGGTAATCAAAACTGTGTTTTTGACGGTGTCATGGACATAGAGATTAATAGAACCAAATGGAGAAACCCAAAATAGAGCCACCAGCAATGTGTGAAGGGGATTAATATCTTGAACACATGGCACCAGGGTCCAGGTTAAAAGCAGGATCTGTGGATCTCACCTGGGTACCCCATGCCAGCCTTCTTGCTGCCTCAGTCCTGGTTAGCGGCTAAGGTTGTTGACTAGTGGGCGTGCTGGCTGTCTTGGTGAGCAGGGATGTGTTTGTGTTACAGGCATTGATGGCCTTCAGAGATGTGGCTGTGGCCTTCACCCAGAAGGAGTGGAAGCTCCTGAGTCCTGCTCAGAGGACCCTGTATCGGGATGTAATGCTGGAGAACTATAGCCACTTGGTATCGCTGGGTAAGAATGGCCTGTCTCAGATCGCAGACTCTGGGCATCTTAAGATTTTATGTAGCAGCTGTCATGCTTTTGGTTCAGAAAGAAAGACGTATTTTCCCCATACCCCCAGAGAGTCTCTGGATTCTGTCGAGTTGGAAATAGTGAAGCTGTGTGTGTGTGTGGTGTCTGACACTGCATTTTCAGGCTTCTTCCTTGGCCAGGCTCCTCCTCTGAACTGATCTTGCTTCAAATGGGGGACTATTTATATTCCCTCAGGCACAGGGGAGAACCAGTGTACTATCTTCAGATCCAGGCTACCCCCGCCCCGTAGCATCCTCTCTCAGCATTCAGAGAGCCTTTGCCACCCTCCATGCTTCCCTGCCTACTTCTGGATTATTGCATTGCCCAGTTGACGCTGAGTTCTGTGATAGCCTCTTAAGCCTCTAACCCAAGGTCACCCTGGTTTCTTTCTCTGTTTCAATTCCCAAAAGGAATTGCCTTTTCTAAACCCAAACTCATCACACAACTGGAGCAAGCGGATGAGCCCTGGAGAGAGGAGAGCGAAGGTGTTCTGGACCTTTGTCCAGGTGAGTGGGAAGCAGCAGGCCGACGGGGGCAGGGCAGTGAGGTGCTCAGCAAGTGAGGACGGAGGAGTCCTGTGAGCTCCTGGGGAGGAAGCTCTTCTCCAGGGCCCCCTTCGTGCCATCACGCTCACCCCAGAGGGCTTCCCTGGCATCCGCCACCCTCCTCCCCCAGGGAGCCTCATTCCACTCACCTGGCGTCGCCTCTCCAGCACATCTAGGATCCCCCATTCCTGGGCTTTTGTTGGTCTGCCTGACCTTCAGTGTAGTGTTTACCCTCTGAGACTAAGTCAGCTGCACCTGCTGGAGACTGTCCAGTTTCTGTTCTTAACCTGATAACTTTTTTGTACACCAGTCTACCCCATAAATTCCCATAACTTTGTTTCTTTTATTTTATGAGAGATTATTTCAGATTACAGCACACTGTGGAGAATCATACAAGTGCCAATGTGCCAGCCTGCAGCCTAAGAAATAAAATGTTATAAAACCCGGTGACAGCCCCTGTACCTTCCTGGTTGTGTCCTGCCCTCCACCCCGCCCCTGAGAGTTCTATTTCTGCATTAGCATACCCATGACTGCCTTGATCCTTTTTTTCCATTCGATGGGTCCTTCAGCCATAGAGATGTCATTTTGCATGTTTGTAAACTTGTCTGCACATAGTGTATTGTACACATCCTTCCAAAAATGCCTTTTCACCAACTTTATGTGAGATTCATTTGTGTCAAAATGTGTAGGTTTAGTTTATCCTTTTTAAAACTGTTACATGATTCCATTATATGAATATTTCTGTTTTAATGCAGTTAAATTGTCAGTTCTCTTCTTTTGGACATTTAAGTTATTTCCAATTTTTGACTATGAAATGGTGTTGCTATATATTCTTGTTACTTTCTTGGGAACATGTGAGTCTCTCTCAAGATGCATATCCGGGATGCGGTAGCTGGTTCATGGGCGCGCATAGCCTCACCTTGACTAGGTTATGCCTTGTTATGTGCCGAGGCTGGCACTCCGCTTACACCCAGCAGCAGTGATGGGCGTTCTTGTTCCACGTCCTCACCAACCCTGGTAATGTCAGCATGGACAGTATTGTTGTCAGTATTGATTTAGGTATTGTCACCTCACTTTTTGCCCACCTGTTTGGGATGAATCTCAGAGGATTCTCTTGCTCTCCCATGAGCGTGAGCATCTTTCCCAAGCTGATCAGGCACTGCTGTTTCCTCCTCTGAGATGTGACGGACCATTTCTTTCTTGATTGATTTGTAGAAATTCTGGGAACATTTAGGTCTTTACTCCAACTTGAATTAATGTTATGTGAATTTTGGGATATAAGGATAAATTTTTACCCGATTTATCTTTTATCATTCTTTTTTTTTTTTTTTTTTACATTCCTGGCATTTTATTTTTGTTTTCTTCTAAATACCACCATATATCTGGACTTATACTTTTCGGCAAACTCAGTGCTTTTGTCTTTTTGAAAAAAGAACTATTATGTAAGGTATAATATAAAAGTGTTACTATGCTAAGGTATTATGGTATAATAAGTAAGGGATATTATTAAACTATAATAAACTGCATAGATATAAAATTTGGTAAGTTTTGACTTATGTATACAGCCATGAAACCGTCACCACAATCCAAATAGTGAGGATACCTTATCCCCCTGAGGGTTCCTTGTGCCTCATTGTAACCCCTGCCTCCACCCTCCCTGCCCTCCCTCTCCTCCCCATACCCGGGCAGCCACTGATCAGCTTTCTATCCTTATGGATTTGTTGGCTTTTTCTAGAATTTGCATATATTGAGTCATTACAGAATACTTACTGAATTCTTTCACTCAACATGATTATTTTGAATCTCATCCATAATGTTACGTGTATCAATAGTTCATGTTTTTAATTGCTGAGTAGTATTTCATTATATAGATTTGTGACAATTTCTTTAACCATTCACCTATAGAAAGACATTTGGGCAGTCTCCAGTTTTTGACAAATACAAATAAAGCCTGTGAACATTCATGACAAGTCTTTGGATGTACATTTTTATTTCTTTTGGATAAATACTTGGTACTGGAATGGCTAGGCTGTATGGTACAGTACATATTTAACTTTTTAAGAAACTCATAAGTTGTTTTTCAAAGTGGCTGCCTCATTTCATATTCCCACCAGCAGTGTATGAGAGTTCCAAATGCAACACATCTTTGTCAACACTTGGTATTATTATTTTAATTTTAGACATTCTCATAGCTGTGTAGTAGCATCTTACTGTGGTTTTACTTGACATTTTCCTAATGACTGATGATGTTGAGAATCTTTTTATGTGCTTATTTGCCATCTGGATATCTTCTTTGGTGAAATGTCTTTTCAAATCCTTTGCCCATTTAAAAAATTGATTTCCTTTTTTTTAAATTGTTTTGAAAGTTCTTCGTATATTCTGTATAAAAGCCTATCATCAGATATTTGATTTACAAATATTTTGTATGTGGCTTGCTTCATTGTCTTAATAGTGTTAAGTGTTAATTCTCTTTCAAGGAGGAGTTCTTAATTTTGAAGTCCAAGTTTCAATTTTTTCTCTGATGAATTGCAGTTTTGGTGGTGTGTTTAAGAAATCTTTGCCTAAACTAAAGTCAAAAAGGTTTTCATATAGTCTTTCTTTTAGAAGTTTTATGATTTTTATTTTCTGTTTAGTTCTATAACCTATTTTAAGTAAATTTTTATATTTGATACCAGATCTGGATTTAAGTACATTTTTTTGCATACAAATACCCAGTTTTTCCAGCTCCATTTATTGCAAAGATAACCCTGTCTGTGCTGGATTATCTATATACCTTTGTGGTTAGTCAATTGACCATATGTGAATGGGCCTCTATCTGGACTCTTGTTTCCCCTCCTCTCTCTGTCTGTCTTAATGCCAGTGCCACATAGTCTTGATTACTGTAGCTTTATAATAAGTCTAGAACTCAGCTGGTATAAAGCCTCCAACATTTTTTCTTTTTCCAAGTTGTTTCAGTTATTCTAGATTCTTTACATTTCCATTGGATTTTAGAGTCATCCTGGCAATTTTCACCAAAAAAAGCCTCCTGGGATTTTGTTTGGGATTGAGTTGAATCGATATCAATTTGCAGAGAACTTACATGTAAATAGTACTGTGTCATCCAATACCTGAGCACAGTGGAGCTCTCCATTTGTGTGGGACTTCTTTCAGTTTTGTCAGCATTGTTTTGTAGTTTTTAGCGTACAGGTGTTACACATCTCTTGTCAGATTTATCTTCTGTATTTCATATTTCTGAAGCTATTTAAATTAAGCTGTTTGTAAATTTTAATTTTTAATTGTTTGTGGATAGTAAATAGAAATACAATTAATTTATGTGTAGTGATCTTATATCTGGTAATCTTGCAAAACTTACTTCTTAGTCCTAGTAGCTTTTTGTAGATTCTATAGGATTTTCTACATAAATGATCGTGTTGTTTGTGAATAAGTAGAGTTTTAGTTCTGTCTTTCCAGTCAGTATATCTTTACTCTCCCGTTCTTGCCTCACTGCCCTGGCGAGAACATGCAATGCATGGGTGAATTTAAATGGTGAGAGTGGACGTCCTCTCCTTGATCCCAGTCTTAGGCGGGGTGCTTTCCTCCTAAGTATAAATTTTTATAGCTGCCGTTTATCAGCTTGACAGACTTCTAGTCCTTGTTTGATGAGAGTTTGTTTTAGGACTGGGTGTTGGATTTTGTCAAATGCTTTTTTGGTATCTTTTGAAATGATTCTATGTGTTTTTCTTTTTTAGTCTTCTAATATGGTGAATTACATTGATTTTTTTTTTATTGTTAAAGCAGCCTTGTATTTCTGTTAATACAATGCACTGACCTTATTCAGATTTTACCAGTTTTACTTTGACTCTTTCATGTGTATGTTGATTTAGTTCTATGAAATTTTGTCCCTTGTAGGTTCAGGTAACTACCACCATATTCAAAGATATAGAACAGTTCATCACAAGGATCCCTTGTGCTCCCCTTTTATAGCCACAGCCAGCTGCCTTCCTTCTCCCCTCTCTCCCCTCTCTCCCCTCTGGAAACCACTAATCTGTTCTCTGTCTCCATTATTTTGTCATTTCAAGAATGTTATATAAAAGAAATCATGTTACCTTTTGGGATTGCCTTTTCTCATTCAGCATAATTCTCTTGAGATCCGTCCAAACTGTTGCATGTATCAATGCTTTATTCCTTTTACTGCTGAGTAGTGTTCCATGATATGAATGTACCACAGTCTGTTAAACTGTGCACCCACTGAAGGACATTTGGGTTGTTTACGGTTTGGGGCTATCATAAATACAGCTGCTGTGGACATTTGTGTACAGATTTTTGTATGAACATAAGGTTTTCGTTTCTGGGATACACGCCCAAGAGTGCAGTTGCTGGGTCATATGATGAACGCATGTTTAGTTTTGTAAAAAAAGTGCCATACTCATTTCCCGAATGGCTATACCATTTTACATTCCCACCAGCAATGTTTGAGCGATCCAGTTTCTCTCATCCTTGCCAGCATTTGGTATTAGCACTGTCTTTTATTTTGGCTGTTCTGACAGATTTCTAGTGCTGTCTCCTTGGTTGGTAAGAGTAAGGCGTTTAGGGCAAGCAGTTCCTCTGGGAGAGATGAGTAGCTGAGCTTATCTGAGTAGGTGTACTGTTTCAAGGCCTTACTCGTCTTGGAAAAGAAACTGGTGTCCTCCTGTGGGTAGGTAAAGAGCATGAGGCCTGTTCACGGGTGGTTATTGCTGTCATTTCGTGAGGTCTTCATGGCGTGTCCTTGGCACCATTGCTCATTCTCCTCAGATGCTCTCTATCCCTCAGAGTGGTTGGCATGTGTGAGTGTGTGAGAAGATCTGATCTGACCACCGAGTGGTCCTGGCAAAGATCTAACATGTGGTGAGAGGCAGGGGAGAGTCTCCTCCTGGGTTGGCTCATGTGGATGGTCTGGCAGGTGGGGGCCCATGGACTCAGGTCCAGGGTGTCCATTTGAG